GCAGTGGCAGACAACTGACTGCTATTCAATCTATAACAATGAAAAAAGTTTTTTGTTTTTAAATCCAAGCTATTGTGACACCAGATGTAAGTGGTGCCACTGACTGGGGAAATGGGCACAGTATGCACTGTGAGCCCGACACAGAAGCTGGCAGCAGTGGCAGACAACTGACTGCTATTCAATCTATAACAGTGAAAAAAGTTTTTTGTTTTTAAATCCAAGCTATTGTGACACCAGATGTAATTGGTGGCACTGACTGGGGAAATGGGCACTGTGAGCCTGACACAGAAGCTGGCAGCAGTGGCAGACAACTAAGTGCATTTACATTACATAGAAAAAATAAATAAAAAAAAGCATACCCTTATCCCTAACCTAGCTATGCTTTTCCCTATCTTATGAACAGCAGCTACACTTTCCCTCCTCTTACTAAGCATGCAGCTTGAGAATGAATCTAAAATGGATGCCTTCCAGGAGGTGGGAGGGTCTGCTAGGGAGGTGTGCTGCTAATTGGCTGGAATGTGTCTGCTGACTGTGAGGTACAGGGTCAAAGTTTACTCAATGATGACGAATAGGGGGCGGGTCGAACCGCGCATATGTTCGCCCGCCGTGGCGAACACGAACATGCTATGTTCGCCGGGAACCGTTCGCCGGCGAACCGTTCGGTACATCACTACTTATAAATTGATTATATGAAGGTTGTCTCAGTGGATACACCAAATGGATATCTTGTACAATTGTGTAGTACCAAGTACATCAAATAGATATCTGTAGAGAATAATTCAACATAGTGTAGATCACACAATATTAAATATGAGAACAAATTCTAATAGTTTACACTCACAAACAAGGAGCTGTGGGCCCAGCTCTGGTTTATTGCGTCTTTGGATCCATTTAGGCGATCCACCCCTATTACCGAGATTTTCCTTATTGTTTTTTTTGTAACAACAACAGTTATAGAAGCTGAGGCTGGGTTGGACGTAGGCAGTACCCTCTGAGCTTCTAGTGAGGCTGCTGTTCACTAGAGTGATGCAAACAAATACTTGCATGGGCCACACTAGGCCAAGACCAGCTTGTTTGGAGTTTAGGCAGTTTGTGTTGATCTTGGAAGGAGTCAATTGGAATGTTTTAGCAGCTACTTTTAATTTATCTACCAGATGGTTTACTTTTGATTGAGTTCAAAAGCGCTGGTTTCTTTACATTTTTTGTAGACACACACTCACACACACTAACAGACACATACACACTCACTAACAGAAAAATACAGTCACTAGCAGACACACATGTTCACTAACAGACACGCATACACTCTCACTAACAGACACACACATAGTAACACACTCCCTAACAGAGACACTCACTAACAGACACACTCACTAACAGACACACACTCACACTAACAGACACACACACACACTAACAGACACACACACACTAACAGACACACACACACACACACACACTAACAGACACACACTCACTAACACACACACACTAACACACACACACACTAGCAGACACACACACACACACACACTAACACACACTCACATTAACACACTCACTTTATTTTTTAAACTCAACCCCCCAAGCCTCCTTACCTTTGGGAATGCTGGGGGGGGGTTCTCCCTTTCCCTGGGGGTCCAGTGGCTGCTGGGCGGGCGGCGCTGGCGAGGGAGCACTGATTAGTGAGCTCTCTGCTCAGCTCCCTTGCGCGCCGCTTAGTGATGCTGGGAGTTGGAATATAACATCATATATCAGCTCCTGGCATCACTCTACAGCGTACGAGGGAGCTGAGCAGAGAGCTCAGGGGAAAGTGCTCCCTCGCCAGCGCCGCCTGCACGGATTTTTACTTAGCCGTCCGCCTTGCCCTGGGCATTTGGGGGCGGCTTTTTTTGCCGCCCCCTGGAAAATGCCTCCCAAGGCAAATGCCTTGTTTGCCTGGTGGCTAATACGTCCCTGGGTACAGGTCATTAATTCCATGCATGCTAAATGTTGCTATGTGATTAATTTGTTGTGAAATCTAGTGTTATTATGTTTAAAGCATAATATTTGGTTGAAAGTTGTACATATTCCAGGTAATGAGAATGTGGTAGCTGATGCTATTTCTCATTTTCAGCTCAACACTGTCAGGAGCTTAGTGCCGGACGCATAAGAGGTGAGCGTGGAATTGCCGACCTGCCCTTTGGCAATTAATATGGGAAGAGCCGGGCAATTTCTCATTAAGGCAATCGCGCAAGGCACGTGGAGTGCGTACATACCAGCATGTAAGGAATGGCAGAGATTCCATAAGCTAATATGTGTGGATCCAGTAGGAGGAAATATTGAAACTGCATTTTTGTTTGTAGTTCAATGTATCAACAAGGGTATATCAAAGAACACCATTTCCAGGCGACTAGCAGGCATAACATATTTCTTACGGCTTATTTTAAGCAGTTGAGGATCACTGATGTTAGGCGACCTATCACATATTCAGTGTTGGGAGATCTGCTGGAAGTTTTAAACACTGTTTGTTACTTACAATTCAAAGTTAAGTTGTTTGCAGCAGCATTTTCTTTAGCCTCAGTGAGTTGGTCTCTTTCAGTAGGTTCAAACTGTCAGGATTGGTTTATATGCTGATAAAGGATGCAAATGTCAGTATCTGGTTACAATCTTCAAAAACTGATCAAATGGGAAGAGGAAAATGGATTCACCTGGCATATATCAGGAAAGGCAGAGTTTGCCTGGTTGAAACGCTGCAGGATTATTTAGCCATTCGCTTTCAATTTCAGAGGGTCTTGCAGTTATGTTTTACAAAACTTGGCTATAAAGGCAAATTTACTATGCATTCCTTCAGAATCAGGGCAGCAACCGAAGTGGAAAACTTGGGTTTGGGGCCAGATGCTATAAAAAGAATTGGGAGATGGGAATCAAACAGTTTTAGGTTATATGTGAGGAATAACATGATTTAAAGTATTGCTTTCATTCCTTAACATGCTTATTATTTTCTCAGGTACCGTAACAAAGGTTTGTGTTATAGGTCATTCATTTATAGAACGGGTCATGTTGAGGGCAAGCGAAAGAAAGTATGGACTGAATTTGGACTTCCAGCGAGAGGACGTTGAAGTATTATGAGTGAGACAGAGTTGTCACAACTAACAAAGCCCAGTGGAGCGCTAGTATGTTAGTTGTGACAACTCTGTCTCACTCATAACGCTCCATTTTCCCTTTGCATGTTTTTGTGTTAAGGTTAGAGGTACCTACACGTGTGTTGAGCTGCTCACTATATTTTGGATTGTTTATTATATTATTCTCTAAGCGCCTGTATTACACAGAGATTTGTATTATTTTTGGACGTTGAAGTATACTGTAAAGGTGTAGGTGGTTTGCGTATTCACAAGTTAATGGAACTCATATTGAAGTGTGCAGAAGATTGGCCTGCACCAGATGTTTTGATAATTCATATGGGTGGTAATTAGAGTTGAACGGACACCTGGATGCTCGGGTCAGGCTGGTTTGGCCGAACTTTGAAAAAAGTCCGGGTTCGGGCTCGAACTTGACCCCGAACTTGACCCCGAACCCCATTGAAGTCAATGGGGACCCAAACTTTTGGGCACAAAAATGCCTCTAAAAAAACTAAGAGTAGGACAAGTGCCCTGTAAACAAATGTGGATAGGGAAATCACTTAAAATAACATAATATGCCTAAAAATTAAAAATACAGCGGAGCCATAAAATAGCACTAGATGGAATCTTTGATTTTAGCTTTGGAAGAACATAAATCAAAATCTAAAGCATGGCTTTCAGGAGGATGACCAGAATTATCCATTTGATAAAGGTTTGGAGTGCAGAGTATTCTCTTTCATTGTTCAAACTGAGCTCAACTCCTGATGCATGGAGAAAAGGCCTTCACAAGACTCTGCTAATGTGTACATAGTTTATACTAAGTGACCCATAGGTTGAGGATGCGGTGACCGTGGCGATGTAGGTGGAAGCAGCGGCGGAGGAGAAGGATGAGGCAGCCAACACTGATTTTTATTTTTATTTTTTTTTAATTTTAATTGGGGTAGCCCCCAAAATATTGGGACATATAAAAAAAAAAAAAAACTGTTCCGCAGAGCGACTGACCCATGCGTGCTGCATCTGAAACTCCACTATCGCCTGCTGCTGCTTGCACAGTCTCATGAGGCGGTGAGCTGGAAGGCCGAAGTTACACTGCAGCGCAGACAGGCGAGCAGCAGCAGGGTGAGAACGCCAAAAGCACGCACAGACGGCCCGCACTTTCTGCAGCAGCTCTGATATATCTGGGTATACACTGTAGCATCACAAGGGCCATCCAGAACTGGCTAAACTCCCATCAAGCCAAGTTCCCGGAGGAGATCACCCAGCTCGTCATGCTTGAGCACTTTTTCAATGTACTCCCCAACGAGAAGGTGACGACGCATTCGTATGTCAATCCATATCAACTTTCAATGCCATTGACTGTGCCTACCATGATGACCATGGGTAATGGGGAATCAGGGTTCGATTCCGTACAGGGATCCTGACCGACGGCTACCACATGCAAGGAAGGTAGCAGGCGCGCAAATGACCCACTCCTGATGCGGGAAGGTAGTGACGACAAATAACAAAACAGGACTGTTTAGAGGCCCTGTAATTGTAATGAGTCCACTTGAAATCCTTTAACTCTGATCAATTGGAGGGAAGTCTGGTGCAGAGCCACTGACCCATGTGTGCTGCAGCTGAAACTCCACTATCACCTGCTGCTGCTCAAACAGTCTCTCCAGCATGTGCAAGGTGGAGTTCCACCTTGTGGGCACGTCGCATATGAGGCAGGGAGCGGGAAGGCCAAAGTTACGCTGCAGCGCAGACAGGCGAGCAGCAGCAGGGTGCGAATGCCGAAAGCGCGCAGAGCCGCTACAGTGAATGTCACACCATGTTCCAAGTTCAGTCTGGTGATGGTTTCTGGTATCCAGTACTCTTTTTACTGAAGCTGCATCAGGGTCATGACATGTGGCCACACAAACGCTGGTGCTCAACACCAGGGGGAGTGCGGTTACCCTGCATCAGTCCTGCTAATCCATTCCACACTGTGGCTCCTAACTTCTACATCAGGCATACTGGGTCCCAGTCGTCCGACCGCCGCCCAGACAGTGTCTGGGTCCCGGTCACCGGACTGTGAAACTGCGAATGGCTCGTTAAATCTGTTATGGTTCTTTTTATCACTTCAACTGTTACTTGGATAACTGGGGGAATTCTAAAGATAATACATGCTGACGAGCGCTAGGGGACATCTGCTTCGCTTTAGCACCCTGCTCCCTCTTATGCTGTGCTGGTTCCTCTGTGCGACCAGCGCCTCTTCTTCCAAACTGCACACGTCACTCGCATGACCTTGATTCCAAGTGGGGTCTAGGACCTCATCATCCTCCACATCATCTTCCACCCACTCCTCAACCCTTCCCTCCTTGCCGGTATGCACACTGCAGACAGCCACAGCAGTTGACACCTGTGTTTTTCCAGCATGTTACGCTTCGATTTGACTCTCAGAAATGAAGAGCAGGCCCCAAAATGTACTATTTAGCAGATTAGCAGCAAAACAATTAGAATGTTTACAAGTGAGCTGTAACCGCACTACTAGATGCTTCGATTTGACTCTCAGATATGAAGTGCACGCCCCAAAATGTACTATTTAGCAGATTAGCAGCAAAACAATTAGAATGTTTACCACTGTGCCTTAAGCACACTACTAGACGCTTCTATTTGACTCTCAGATATGAAGAGCAGGCCCTAAAATGTACTATTTAGCAGATTAGCACCCAGAAAATCAGAATGTTTACCACTGCGCTGTAAGCACACTATTAGATGCTTCTATTTGACTCTCAGATTTGAAGTGCACCCCACTAATGTACTATCCCACTAATCTACTATTTAGCACCCAAAAAAAAATCGACTTTTTAAAACTCTGATGTAACCGCAGTATTTGAAGCTTCTATTTGACTCTCAGATATGAAGGGCACCCCACTAATGTACTAGTTTGCAGAATTATTTCCTAAGCTGTCCCTCACAGCTGCAGCATCCTCTCCCTACACTAATAAGACCTTATGTGCGTGAGGCGCTACGCGACTCCAGCTTATATGCTGCACTGGCCAATCATAGCCATGCCATTAGTAGCCCTGCAGACTTTGAAAATGCGCCATTAAATCACCGAACACCAAACTCCAACCCGAACATACAGTGATATGTCCGTGTCGGGTCCAGGGTCCAAACACCGTAATATTTGGTACGAAACCGAACTTTATAGGTTCGCTCAACTCTAGTGGTAATGACATTGGTGTGTTAAAATCTTTACAGTTACTGAATATTGTTACAAATATTTGTTTTGAAGTGAAAACATTATTTCCCTACACTATATTGTCTGAAGTGGAACAGCGCTGGTGTTGGCTGATCAATAAAAAGATGACATTTTTGCTGTTTGAGTTCAACCACAATTTGCATCTCTTTCATTTATTGTACCAACACATTTTAAATACTGTTTTTTTAGAGGGCAAACTAGGCTTTAATTTGACGTGACATATACAATATACATTGTCATTTATTATTTTTTTAAAATGCAATTAATGGGGAAAAATATACACTTTTTATTTACAGTTTTGGCAATAATAACATGTTATATATGATATCCAGTTTATTAAAACTAATTAAAAATAAATTAATTTGTGTCCTGATTTCAGTTTTTTTTTTTTTTTTTTAAAGTTACAGGTCACAAAATACAAAGACTAAAATAAAATTTAAATGTGAAACAAATTTAGAAGTTGGTTTGTTTGTCTTGTAAGTTTAGTAGACATTACAGAAAACAAAATTGCCACACAAAAGTATATATTTATATAAAGTACACATCACAGGCTATTTACCTAAAAAAAAATTTACACTTTTTACGTAGCCATTTTACCACTAATCTCTGCTAAATATTGTTGTGAAATTGTGGGGTTTTTTTTTTACACACACACATAACAAGATTTTTTTAATGTGTATTTCGTAAAGCTGGTGTATGCTATTCATGTACAAAATGCCATATTGTATTCAGCTACATCTGCTGAGTACAATGATACCCACATTGTATGCCTTTGCCACTATTCTGTGAAGCTACAATGCCATATAAGAGACCAAGCTATTTCAGTTTGTCTAGTTAGAATTTTCATAGATGAATTTGATGGTCCTATGTCTAATTTTATGGCATTGTAGCAGTTTTACTGTTCAAATAACCCAACAAAGGCCTTAAGTTTGTGAAAGCAGACACTACAGGTGTAATGGAAAGAGAGAAATCAGCGCTAGGCTGCCACACAAGGAAATAATAATAGTAGAAAGGCTGCAAACCTCAAAGGGGAGTCCCCTATAATCCCCTAATGGTAAGAAGAAATACAAAACAAAACAAAATGAGGTTGCGCCTAAAATATACAATAAAACATATAAAAATTGTATATAATAAATAGTATAAAATAATAAAATTTAATATAAAATATAAATGAATTGTAAAATAAATAGTTGGCAATAGTCCAAAACACTTATCATAAGTCCGTAATGGTAGATGCCACGTATAAGATCAGGGTTTCTGAGACGTAGAGTGGAGTGTGTCTTCACAGTAGTGTGCTTGAAATCCAATAGAACATATGTGGAGAGAAGACAAAAGGGAACTCCAATGGCACAGTATATAGATGAATAAAATAGTATGTAAAATAACAATAATCTTACTCACACTTTTCAGAGCTAAGACCTAGCTCTGATATAGCGCACGTGAAGTGGAATGATCCCCACTCAAGGATATGCGGAGTAATTTGATTGACGAGTATCTGACTCAGATTAGGCTTCCGAGTTGGTGTTATTCGACCCAGGAAAGAGAAATAAAATATATAGTGCTCTCTGTATAGTAGTTAAAAGGTGTAAAAAGTATATAATATACTACTCACAATATGTAGAGCATGTAAGCGTTTGGGTGGTATAATCCCCACCTAAGGATTCTTTAGGCTTCTCGTCAGATAGGCAGTATATGTATAGTCAGATGAAAAAGAATAAAGAAAATGGCTATAAAGTATTTTATGCCAAAAATAATTTCTTTATTATAAATTAATAAAAATTATATCTAAACGCGTTTCGCCTCAAGGGCTTCTTCAAGTAGATAATAGTAAAAAAGAGGGACACACCTGACATACAATGGTTTATATAAGGTACAATACTGTTTGGAATTTTGAAAATCCTGCCAAAATGACGTCATCAATAACATAATATAAAAATGCAAATAAAAATACTGAATAAAACATAAATTATTATAAGGATAGATCTTATGAGGTAGGTACGTTAGTTAGAATTGTAAAACGAGGGTTTAGATAGCTAAAAAATACATGTTTTAAAATGATCACGTGACGTGCGGCCAAAAGCACTTCCGTGTCACGTGATCGCGCCGTGGAACGCATGCGTTCCGTCTAGGTGGAACGCGTGTGTCAACAGGAGGTGGGAGGGCCGTTTAGTCTGATCAGAAAAGGATCAGATTAGCTGTCTGCACAAACAGGCAGACAGCAATGGGGATGGCTCGGGCAGCATGCTGTCTGCCTGCATAAGCAAGCAGACAGCCATACACAAGTTCAAAGCCCGGAATGGGCACCCATATTGACTTAACTTTTTTGATTAGGATATTTAAAATAATTTTATACATAAGTAAGATAAGGATTTTTACATAAAATGAAGTACAATAAATTAAAATAAAATACTGTATACAGAGTAAAATAATCTATTTATATGATAAGAGTATATAATAAAAAGGATAATAATCAGAATGCACATAGGAGATATATAGGCATATTTGTTATGTATAAGCAGAGAGTAAAATAAAGAATAAAATGGTAAGGGGAATTTTAAGGATTAAAGTAAAAACAAGAATATGGAAAGTAAAAAATAATTATTTGTTATAAAGGAGTTTTATGATTGTTATTAAAAATTTAAAAGATCAAAGTCAATGTTTAACCCTATAGGAGCAAGGGTTTTTAGGTTGTATGCCCATTCCATTTCTTTTTTTCCTAAAACCTTTTTAATATCTCCTCCTCTCCATGGAATATTGCAAGTGTCTATACCGATACACTTAAGGTATTTTGGATTCTTTCCATGTTGTAGAAAATGTTTTGAGACTGAATGATTCTCGTAACCTTTTAAAATATTTCTACAGTGTTCAGCTAACCTTGTTTTTAAATCCCTCGTGGTCATACCCACATATTGAAGCCCACAGGGACACTCCAGAAGATAAATTAAGTTTTTTGTATTACAATGGATAAAATGTTTTATTTGATATGTTTTCTGTGTAATTGCTGATGTAAATGATGTGGTTTTAGATTTAATGGTATCACTGGTACGCTTACAGACAATACATCTATTACATTTAAAAAAAACGCTGGGTTTATTTTAAAAAGTAGAAGGACTAGGGGATAAAGTGCTTTGCTTATATTTAGTGTAATTACTTGTAAGAATAGACTTAAAGCTGGATGCTCCTCTAAATATCACGTGTGGATTATCGTGAATAATTCCAGCCAAAGTATCATCTTGTTTTAATATATGCCAATGTTTTTTTATTATCT